GAAGCTCCGGTCGCAAGTAAAAGCAAAATGTTGTGGCTGGAGCTGGTCGTAACTTGAAGTGGTCATACGTCGGGACATTCGTAAGTTGAGGCACCGCTGTATAGCAGTTAGTCTTTAAGGTACCACAATGTTGTTATTTTTGTTGCTGTTGCTTTTGCTTCTGTTTTGTTTCTTATTTGATAATCAGGCAAGAGTTTATTTTTGCTGGTGAATGGAGCAATGAAGGCCCAGGTCACAATTTTAAAAGGGGCCGAATGAAGGTGTGACAGGGATTTAAAAACAGACATTAAAAAACAAACCCACAAAACTTCCTGTTTAATCAGTGGTTAGTGTTACTGTTATGCTGCTCAATTTATAATTTGGAACAGGGCCAGGGCAATATTTTAATTTCCCCAAGATGAAAAAAATTACTCTCATTAGTTCTATATGCACAATATGTTTATTTAAATGACTTTCCCTTTAAGATGATTAAATAGTCCTTTTGCTTTAGCAGCTATTTTTAAGTAATAGTCCTGACATAACTTTATGCACATGAAGCTAAATCTAGTACACCTGAGTAATCTTTTATTTGAGTACTAAGTGACTTTGCTTATGCTGTAATTATGCCAGTACACGTCCCCAGTGTGGAAACCTACCAGTCTCCCATAGCACTGGTACAACAGAAGATGCTCACTTAATCTGAGTACCAGCCTAAGTTATATTACAGAACTGTAACTTGGCTGACATCTTGTGTTGGGAATGTCGAAGGCAAAATACAGTGGTGCCTCGCTTAACAAGCGCTTCGGTTAACGACGAATCCGCATAGCGACAATTTTTTGAGATCGTTTTTGTGATTGCATTGAGATGTTTTAAATGGTAAAATATCGCTTTGCGATGATCGGTAAGCTGTTTTGCTTACCGTTTTTCGCATAGCAATGTTTTTAGAACAGCTGATCGGTGGTTCCACAATGGCCGCCAGGTAAATAAAATGGCCGCCCGCTGTGTTTTTGTCTGGATTCCTCGCTTACCAGGCAGCGAAAATGGTGGCCGTGTGGAGGATTTTCGCATTAAGGTGAGTTTTTTGCCCATAGGAATGCATTAAACGGGTTTTAATGCATTCCTATGGGTTTTTTCGCATAGTGACGAATCCGTATAGCGACAATTTTCGCTGCACGGATTATCGTCGCTATGCTGGGCACCACTGTAGATTCCTTCCAGTTAACTATAAACAGACATTACTATTGTGAAGATAGGCATGACTAACTCAGATAGAGAGCGCAGGAATTGCTTTTTTTACATTGTTGTTTTTCTGGATGCCAGCAGATCATTATTTTTCTAAAGTGTTAGCAGAAAAGGGATAAACAACATAACCAGCAGTTTTGAGGGTTCAAGGACTAAAAAGAGAGGTCATTCGTAAATCCAGCCTGAACTTATTTCAAATGACAATTTTATACAAGTTATGGAGGCTTTAGTGAATACTGAAACTATCTGAATGAAGGGACTTTGTGTTCTTTAAAGAAGTTACATTAGGCAAAATGGCCTGTGAACTTTAAACTAAATCAAGTAAGGGACTTACTGTGATGTTACAGGAACACAAAAACTAGCTTGCACGAATCAGTAATGTCCTTTTAAACTGGTACACACCACTGTGTTTAGCAGTGCATCTTGGATAGAAATCTTTGCCCTCTTCCTGGCGCACCCTTTTTCAAGCCTCCAAATGGCAAGGATTCAACCTGGGTTCTCCTGCATGTGAAGCATGTGATCTGTCACTGAGCTCTGGTCCTGCAAAGGTTACGTATTCAGTTGCTGCTCAAGTAAGATAATAGATTATAAATGGAACTTATCTCTTCAGCAGGCACAGTACCTGGACACTGGGCCATTTCTTTGTACAAAGTTATCTAGTGAGCAAAAATGGTACAAGAGAGAGAGAAAATAGGAATAAATTACTGTATTTTTCGGACCATGAGACGCACTTTTTCCCCACAAAACGAGGGGTGGAAAGTCTGAGCGTCTTATGGAGCGAAGAAAACAGATTATATTTTCCTGTTTTCTTCTCCTAAAAAATTGGTGTGTCTTATGGAAAGGTGCGTCTTATGGAGCGAAAAATACGGTATATTATTGTGCAAGCACAGCAAATCAACATTATACAAGCCTATTCTAAAAAAGGGGAGCAGCCCAAACAAAAAAAATTTAACTTTGAAACTGGATCAATGCCAGATTTGACACAGATCTAGCATACCGCCAACTTTTGCTCTGTGCAAACTTTGGGGAAGTTTGGACAATTGGTTTTCAAGTTACGTTTTTTAAAAAAGTAAAACTTTTTTTACCATCTCCATGAAAAAATAAGTACCCCTAACTGTCCCCAGATTTAAAACAGATAGAATGAACTAAAAAGACCAATCTTGCTTATGTTGAAAGAGAATGTTTGGCCCTAGGTTCTTTTTTTATTATTTTAATTTGGAAAGAATTCAGGCAGTAGGGGCTAAAATACTGATTCTTAAAAAAACACCTTCTAAAATGAAAGAAAAAACAAAACAACTGTGACTGTTATAAACTGAGCATACATGGAACAGGCTTACTAGCAAGAGTGTTCCGAAGTTAGATC